CATAGACCTGTCTAGACCGTTCTGGAGTAGTACGGATTGTCCTAGACAGTACCAGAAGAGTCCGGAAGCATAGCTATAGTACACGAGCAGAGAGTCCCAAATATGGTAACATACTACATAAGCGACTACAGCTAAGCACTAGGAGACGCATAGCCTCGTGTAGTCCGGACCGGATAAGTCCAAGTTCAACAGTTCTTGAGACCACATGTTTAGAATACGCGAGGGTCAACAAGCAAGCAAAGTGGAAACAAAATAAGTGAACAAATGAGATACGCCTACAAATCTATCGGTGCTCATCATCACTCAGCGGCGCCGCCAGCTCCAGTCTGGTATGTCGCTCCCAATGGCCGTGGAAAACTAAGAGTGAGTTCTTCGCTCCTTTCCTGAAGTCTACGCATTGCTTATAACAGAGATAATCGCGAGTTCATGTCCATTAGCTCGACACTCCCGGTGCACGTAAGAATCGAATGCCACCTAATTCTTCCATCGTGGATGCCGAATGGCGATAGCCTATAACATTCAAAGAAGGAGCGGAAGAATTACTGTTCATAAGCCGGGAGCGGCTCAGAGTCCCTGCCTTGTTCCTCCAACTGCGCGCTGACCGACGCGAATGCAATACGGAGCCTGGAAACCTCTTCCTCTAGTGCGCGAAAAGCTATCTTGTGCCCGCCGCCACTACTGACCTCCGACCTAGCTCTCGTGCTTGCAGGAGATGAGAGCATCGACATCTCTCGCCGCAACAGATCGATTCTTTGTGCAAGCACCTCCCTCTGTTTCGATATTCGTGTCCCAGTCAGGCCCGGAGCGGTAGCTGGGGACTCCGTCTCCCCGCGGGGAGAGGTGGACGGCCTTGTGAAGGCATTTGGATCCGCAGGCCCGAGCCCTCCCCCAAACTGGAACCTAGAGGCCGGATTTGAGCTGACGCTGACGCCGCTTGTGGGCTGGAACATGGCAGGGTGCGCTACGCTCGCAGGATGAGCCTTCCCATGATGGAGCGCAGAACAGACAACGTAGACTCACCGCCCCCGCCAAGACTGTGGGCTCCGCAGTAAGCGTCCGTTGGGGAGCCGTCACGATAAGGGAAAATCGGCTCTGAACGCTTACACCCTGCGTGTTTCTGAGCGTTCCGTCGACGCAGGAGTAACAACGCTGCGACCCCCGCTATCAGGACGAGAGCTACCCCTCCTAGTACTACTCCGATAATGGCGCCTGCAGGTATCGCCGTAGAGGGGGTAGAAGACATTGACCCTGACGTCGTCATGGCGCTACTAGCGATGGAGCTCTGCGTCGAAGGGGTAGACTTCGTGGCGGTGTCATTGCTCTCCGTCGTGTACAGGACATAGTCGAAGAGAACGAGGGACTCCGTGTCGCCGTCTGCGGTCATCACCAGGGTGTGGGGGCCGTTCGAAAGTCCCGTGATCGAATGAACAAGTTGGTTGTACTGTATGACTTCCGTACTGAGATCAGGAGTGTGCAAGAAACTACCGATATCGGCGCCGTCCACAGTGAAGGAGATATTGGCGAAAGTTGCCGTGTTGTTGGGGAGGAATTTGGGGACGATATTGTGGACATACACTGCGGTGCCCGTGAAGTTCACGATGATTTGAGCAGGGGTCAGCCCGGGGGTATGAGTTGCATCGTGCCATGTATGGTTGTGTATCCGGTGGACGTCAAGGATAGCGAGAGTGATCTTGCAGCTGTCGCAGTCCTCGGAGGGGGAGCCGGCGTGCCACGTTCCGTCATTAGGCAGATACACAGGAATGAAACCTGTGGTGTTATCTCCCAACTGGTCGTCAATGGTGACATTCATCGGAATGGGTCTTGCAGGGGAAAACAGCAGGGGAAGACGAAACGCGGCTAGAGCACAGTCGGAAACCCGTTTATCAGCGATGACTCACTACCACTTTACAGGGAGCAAATGTACCAAGGGTATAGTGCTCCTCCTCAGAACTCGAAGTCTAACTGTGACGTCACTCGCAGTCTCAAGGCAAGAATCGCCGGAGACTCTCTTGGTCTGAGAAGTTCTATCTGTGAATTGCAGAGGACAGCAATGCGAGAATTGTGGAGGTTCAAGAGAGGTGTGCAACTCCTGGCATCCCAAAGGGTGATCGTTGCGACGATCAAATTCTCCAAGATCTTCGTTCTGATACCTGTCACCAGTGTACCTCCCGGTGCTCTTGGCTGTTTCCGCGTCAAAGGTGGATGCTATAGACGCAGATTTCAAATTTGCCATGAGGCAATACTCCGAAAGGCTCCTTCAAGAGATGTATATGCCACATGTCATCATTGCGTTGCCTGATGCCCCGTGTGCTTGAGATTACAAAGGCTGGCCGATGGAGCGTGGGATCGAGCAATTGTGGGGGGAATCGTTCCCGGGAGGCACCTAAGATTAAGCGTCTTGTCAATTCTGGTGGTATGCCATTCGATGCATAGCTGGGAACGACGGGGTTCTCGATCGTAAGTTCCCAGCTACTGAGATCAGGACTCTCGTAAGACAACGGCACGTAAACTTGTGCTTAGAGCGATGAACGAGTCGCGCGCGATAGCGGTCAAGAATAGGCACATCGGCATGAGCGCACAATATACTCACTGCGCTTAGGGTTCGCGGCCGCAATGCGCGTTCCGATCTCATTTTCTCTTATACGAATCCATAGCACGGCGTTTGTACCGCTGCAGGCTTCCACGCGCGAATTCTGTGAACCATATGAGTATCCTAAGGCTAGGAGGAAGGGAAGGAAGGAGACCGTAGAATAGAATGCAGACTCACCAACTCCGTTGAGCTCCCCAGACGTAGACCACGCACCATGCGACTATCCTGTTCATCTAGGAGCCCATGTCATGAAGACCCTATTCAGCCTGGCCCTCACCATCACAGGAACTGCCGTCTTCACCGGAGGTACGAACTGCCTACTAACCTCGGGTGAATGTGACGCTTCTCAACGACGTAGATATCTCGCGGTGAGCTGTACGGACGAGGCTCGTCTGCCTTTGTCGGGACTCTGAACTTCGAAAGAATGGGGCCTTGGGTGTGTCCATGCGCTAAAGCAGCGTCCTCCGCTATCGTGACGTCCACCAGGTCCCTAGCGGCTCGTTCTACGTTCTAGAATGAGGATAAAAAGATTCTTTGATTTGCAGAGAGTCAATGTCGGGGTTTGGAATCGAATACTGGCATGAGAACGTGCTGCACAATGAGGCGCGAGCTCTGCGAGTGGCGCGTACACCGGAAGCAAGGTCATAGTCAGCGTTCCAGGGCTGTTTGTCTTGTATTGTGAAGGACGGAGGTCATAGGAGTGTAATTTTATCGTGAGTAGCAACCCCCCTTATCATCGTATGAGCTGAAAACTAGGAACCCACCAAAATGAGAAGGGAGTAAGAGCGGGGCAGTACAAACTGACTTTGATGACACCAGTAGTGACTTGCCTACAGCCTCGCACCACTGCATTGGATTCACGAGCAGGCGACAACATTTGTATGCCGGGCATGGCTTAAGGTATGGTAGCATCAGTGCCCATAGTAAGTCGACCATCGTAGACATGGGTCTCCCAGTCTCATGAGTCTTCAGATTGCGGCTCTGTAGCGCAGTACCGTCATTCTTGCAACCGGAAGCAACGTAAGGCTAGAATAAAAACGTTCAGACACTACAATTGGTACTCACTTATGCCATGCTTTAGCTTAAGGGCTCGCGAAAGCCACGTTGCACCACCACGGGGCAGGAGCGCTAGGGGACAGCTTTGCGACCAGAAGCTGCAATTGATGACTGAGGTTGTCGCTTCATGGGGCTCGCGGCCACTATAAAACGGTAGTGCGTGAGATGCAAAGCGGTATACAGCATTCTTGAAACCTCTTGGTACGAGGCCAGAGGGACACAGAACGCGAACGAGGCTGCTGGCGCGGCTATGCCAACCGTGGTGAGTATCAGAGTAGATTAGGCCCCGCAATAACTCGGCGTGGGATCGTGGACGGGTTGCGCTATCGCTGTAACGCCTTGGCTCAGTCAGCGATGTACGCGCTACCCGAGTCCTTGTTTATGCTCTCTCCTCCCATCCCTGCCATGGCCGAACGGCCCACCGACGAGCGGGCTCCCCTCCTCGACCGCGAGGCCCGGGCTGAAGCAGGTGAAGATCTTACCTTCTCCTCAAGAAGAGCGCGCATGTGGACCCTTGCATGGTATACAGTCTTCACCATCCTCGGTGTCCTGGTTGTCGCAGTCTTCGACAAGGGGATCGTCGACTCAGATGACGTTGAGGTGAGTTTATCATCTGTGTCTCCCTCGCAGATCGCATCTTGTGCTTCTGGATCTTGGGACGGCTGCGGTGTCGTGAGCCCCGCCATGTTGTAATGGTTGTCCGCGTATCGGGTCGCTATCCTCCTGCTCTCAGCGTGGCACCCTCTGTCCTTCCGCCTCTTCTCGCGCAGAAGATAGTATTCACCACAACCCTCCTCCAATTCGACCTCGGGAAAGCGCTCAAGTCCGCCCTTGGCGGCGCGGTCGCGATGGTCCTCCAAGTGCTCACGCACATGCCCCTCCGCACAGTCATGAACTTTATCAAGTTTTGCGCTGTTTGCAAAACTAACATAGCGACGACTCAATACAGAATCCCAATAGAGAGTCGCCTCTGTAGAAGGCACACAGAGCTTTGGTCCCCGAGAAGCATGTCCTCGGTCTTCCGGTGGATCCAGCAACTTCTACCCGACAACTGACTATCAAGCCGCGGCCGTTTCAGTGTATCTCGCTGCACATGGAAGCAAGAATGCGAGGCGCGAAGGCAGACCATTTCTTCGTCCTGGAACCAAGCGTGTTCTCTTTCACGGGATCGAGTGCCGCCAGCCCGACAGTGGCAAGCATCGTCGCCTTAGCGATAGGCCAACGAACACGGGCAAGCCCCCGTTATGCTTCCTGGACCCGTGGCTGTACTCGGAGGACTTTGCGGCGTTCACGGATATCACCACAGGTAATAACTCATCCCGTTTCTCGCAGAACGTTACGGCACAAGGATATGATGCGGAGGTTGGCTGGGACCAGGTATGTCTTCCTTCAAGTGGCGAATATCCCTTGTGCTGATGCGATCTGCGCTAGGTCACGGGCTTGGGTACCCTCGCTTTGACAAATTAGTCTCTTCGCTTGGACTGTAAACGTTATCCTTGTGGGATTTATCTATGATACGAGGTAGTGCGCGTGAAGAGCAGGGGATTAGGCTGCAGTGATGTACAGAGGGCAACTTTGCATACCGGACGTCATGCAGATGGGGATTATAGCTAAAACTGTCTTGGATTTTGCAATCTGCACTGCGGATCCTAGCAATGTATGATTTATTGACGTGACACTTCACCAAGGCGCATCACGAGCTGTTTTACTTGAGTAGGAGGATAGACAGACGGCCCAGGCGCCGTACGGCCTCTGCCGCAGCATGATACTAAGCCTAATAGTATCATGACTTGCGTACTCTTCAGCTTGTCCTCGCCGCCGTCTGCCAGATTCGCACACTCAAGTCCCTTCGCTTGTGTCTCTTCTGCTCAGAAAGTGAGCATCCACACCCGATGCTAATCATCGGCGCTATAAGCCAGCAATACTGACTATTAGCTCGAACTCAACTTATCAGTCACAAACCTGCGAAAGGGCAATAGCTCATCTCTATTCATACCGAGGATATAGTGGTTACTTTCCATGGACGTGAAACAAATAGTAGGGAACTCGCTATTCCGATCGCGGGCTCAGGTACTCATAGATTGTGCCAGGCCGCAAGCGTCGATAGGCTTCCACCGGAGTTACTGGCGTACATCTTCCAAGTCTTACAGCTCTTGGTGGGCTGGCCCCAATTGCCCAACTGCTCCGGTCCCACACTGTCAGAAGCAGCGACATGGATTCGCGTTACGTGGGTATGCCGCTACTGGCGTTGTGTTGCTCTCGATTGTCCTACACTATAGGCGTCGATTGTCGACTCTGGCTGGTGGAACAACACGACCTGGCTCACCACATTCTTGGAGCGTTCCGGAGAGACGCCTCTACAACTGAAGCTTGATGATGACGATGCGGACCTCGAGGCCGCAGTCATTGCGATCCGACCTCTGATTCATAGAGTCCGTCGACTACAGCTATGGACGTATGACCAGCCACTTTCCTCGGTACTAGCCCAATTACCCGGCCGATTCGATGTCTTGGAGGAAGCCGAGTTATCCAGCTGCTACTGCGACCCTTCAGACGATTCCCCCGTTGACGACGAGCTTCACCTCTCTCCAGGTCACTTCCCTTCCTTGCGCTCCTTGATTCTCGCCAACGCTCACCCAGCATGGGAAACCTTCTCGTTGGCAAACCTGAACGAATTCCACGTAATTGACGCCTCTACGGGTCCTTCCACCGCCGCAACCCTACGTCTGATGAGAGATTCTCCTCACCTGCGGATTTTCAAACTCGACTTCACAAAACTAGCGCCCAGTCTTGAACCTCCGTATGACGCGTACGGTACGATATCGCTCGCGTACCTCAAGGAGTTCAGGATCTCAGGGACCCCTCGCGAGGTCACGTACGTGCTTGACAGGATCATCGTCCCCTCCACTTGTTCCATCGGTGTCTGCTATACCTGGAATGAGCACCCCGGAGCCCTGAGTCTTATCAGGTCGATGTTTCCCTATCAGCTTGCCTTCAAAAATACGGTTCCTCACTACGTTGCCCTCACTCTCCATCTCGGTGATGACCATGTCGCTTTGTTCTGTTCACGTGGTGACGGAAACAGTGTGATGAGTCTTCGTGTATCCCGGGAGCATCCCGCTGTCCAATCCATTGTTGCTGAGGACACTTGGTCGAGCTTGCTCGGTGCATTCTCAAGTTCGCCGCTGACACGTATCAACATGTGGTTTTACTCGGACACAAGCATCTCTTTCCCTATGTGGATTACGCTGTTTGAGCGCTTTCCCCTCCAAGCCGTTCAGATTGGCTTCCCATATACATACTCAAGCCAGCTCTGGCGCCTTCAATACCTCTTCGACGCCCTACGAGCACCATGCTCAAGTAAAGTCCGCCTTCTTGAGCTCTTCGACCTCTTCATCGACGCGGCGCTGACAGACGCTATCATCGACCTGCTCGAGCGCCGAGCAGCGACGAATATTCGGTTGGACACACTTATGTTGTTCGGGTGCTACCTCGAGAAATCATTGGAGCCGCAAGAATTCAAGAGACGATTGGAACCGTACGTGAAACCCGTATTCAAGTAAGCAGCTCGTGATCCCTCTCTCCCTATACGACTCACTAATTTGTCTGACAGGTATCGTGGCAACCACTACTGGGGTGCTTACGCAGAGGTAGATTATTTGAGGTGAGCACTATGATTGGGCTACATATCTATGTTGACATAGTCTCGCCGACCAAGGATATCTCATGGACCGTCGTCTTCGCCGTCCTCGGCATTGTCATCGCTCTCGTCATCGGCGTCATCGGCGTCGGAAGACTAAGTACTAGACCGGTATGCGACCGCAACAGAGGGACGCCACGTACAGAAAGCCAGAGCAACGAGCATGGACTGTATTCACCGCCTTGTCTTATGTAGGTGTAGGCACGTGCTCGAGTGTAATACCTATACGAGGCCCTCAGTACTGAACGATGAAGGTACAGATACTTGTCATTCTCGACAGCTGCAAGAAACATTTCTACTTGACCACGCTGTGGACGACAAAGGCAGTCTTGCATCAGTCACCCCTGTCTTAGTGGCTCATTATTGTACTCGTGCATTGTGAACCCTCGTTTACGATATTCACGTTGTGAGATCCTGTTCCCCAGTCTCTCGCGAAGTACCCGAGCGTCCACTCCACCCATTGTGACGAAAACGTCCTCTCCCCGTACAATTTGAGCCCGATCTTCTCGTAAATGGGCACCTGTTCTAGAATCTGAGTCATCATTCGCTCCTTGTAGGAAGCTCTGAAGATTCAAATGTCACACACGTTCCGGATGTTTGTCGTGGTCAGTGCCACTGCAGCTCCAGTCTTCGCTGCCTGGATTCGGCGCTTGTGTCAGGCCCCTCTCCAAGTGTGGGTTGCATACCTCCTTGTAAGCGAGCTCAAACATCGCCTTCGCTACGCCCTTCCCTGATAATCGGCACGCACCATCGCGAGACTGCACCAATACGCGTTCCGCTCGGCGCCTTCGATCCCAAACATTTCGTCGCTAGATTGTGGGACTTCCTTCCCCATCTGGATGGAACGCAAATGACGAAGTGAGTCAGCAAAAGAAGCGGGCTGCGTTCATGATCACCATGGCACACACCGTCTCCGCAAAGTACTGTCGTCCTTCCGGCGAGAGCTTGCTTATGTACGCCGACACGCGGCCCTTCTCTTGCCTACCCAAACATAGTCAGAGCTCAGCGCAGAACCACGACAATTCGTCAGACGTACGTCGGCAGTATAGGCTCTCCAGGGAGGGAAAACAGGGTGAAGCCGACCAAGGCCCCGGTCTCGTCCCGCGCGGTGAACATGTGCGATACCCCCGGGCACGAGGAGAGGGAGTAGACCAGGACCCTGCCCAAGTCCGGAAGTATGCTCCAGTCTCCGCCAGTGAGGGCCATCATGCACGGATCTGCATATCGTAGGGTACAACACATCACGGTCAACTCGACAGTAACGTACACTGGCTCGGTATCCCACTCACCTCCGACCACCAAGCTCGCGAAGAGCTGAACGGCCTCCTCGGCAAGGGGCTCTAGAGCATGGTCAGAGCTATGAGAATGCTGCCGGAGCGCGAGGGTAGTCAGCCTACCTGTCGGCTTCTGGATGAGCTCGATCGTCACGTTGGGAGGTGCCAGTGGGTCCTCTGGCCGGAATCTCTGTCAGAGATGTTGCTGAGAGAGCTCGAGCAGCTGCTTTCGTTGCTTCCGGTGCCCGCTTATAAAGGTCTATCAGGGAGTCTCGATGTCTGTTCTTCCAGAAAGACGTCTACCAGTTGCAACTGATATCAGAACAACAACATCCACACAGTACTTGTCATCTGCGCGCCGGAGGGTCAGGAGTCCTCTCTCGATCACCGGGCGCCGCCCCATTCTCTGTGGGTGCATGGGATGAAACACATTCCTCTGATGAATACGAAGAATAGCGCACCACCCACAGAGGCCTGCTGGTGGTCGGCGCTGTTCGCCGCCTAAAGGCACGAGAGCTGCTAAACGAATGCGATGAGCAGCCTTCGAGTGCGTCCTTGGGACGAAGTATGATGACATTCTTATGACGAGAGGCCTGCGCTGTCGCTTAGGCCGAAGACTTGGGGAAGTAACATAGGACGCATATTTGACAGTGCACGCCGCCCGACATAGCGCAGGCTCTAGCTATCAGGCGTGCGTCCGAGCATCGTGAATACATGTCAGCCGCGTCTCAACCCAACTTACAGGCAAAGGCAGGTCGACTCACGGGAGAATTCTGACTCGAAGAGTGTAGCATAGAACGACTCCTGCCGCAGAGTGTGCTCAACAGGCCTATGGTCAAACACATTGCGTGGGCCTGTCGTCAGTACACACTTGAGCGACTGGGGACCTGTGTCCTGCTCCGAGCCCCTGCTGATTAGATTTGAGCAGGGGAGTAAATAGACTCGGGCTGCGATAGCACGCAGCAACGATAGGACCACCACAGCCCGCACCAATGCAGTGGGGATCAGACAGAGCTGGCAGCGGCATAAGCACCAAACAACAGTGCCGCGCAACTCGTCCCAACGATGCACGGCCGCATCTCCGACCTCAAACTGACTCGCCCCCACTCACCGACATAGCAGAACGAACGTAACGGAGTTTACCGGAGGAGCAGGGAACTCAAAACCACAGCCGTAGATCACGAGATGAATGTACAAGACGAGAGAAACACGCAGACACGACAGACTGGAGAACATCGAGAGATATATGATCGAGGATATGAGAGAAGAGGACAGTCATTGCAGAAGGCAGATAGTTACTAGTCGTGAACGTACGCAAGACGGGGGTTGGGATGATTGGTGGGGGGTATTACGGACAGCTACCGTGAGTGCAGGTGTGTATGTGTGACGACCGAGACATATAGAGGGACAGGCAGAACGCAGACCGACCGGCACGGAAAGGGAAGGAGGACTGAAACGACCACGGGATCCATGAAGGTGCAGTAGCATACAGCGAAGGAACAGCGCGGACGTCAGAAGACACATCCAGCAGTGCAACCTCCCCGCTGCGAGCAACGAGCCCCGACATATCCTAGCCACGACGACGATCCAGCCTCTTCCTGACTGCAAAACATGCTGGATGTTCGTAAGACGAGGGAATCACGACAGCATCAGTTCTGACCTCCTCCCTTCCACCTCCACTGAGATCCAGGGTAGTAAGACAAAGTACACTCATGCTTGATCCCCTTCCTGGCCGGTGGCGCGCGGAACGCTCAGAGAACGATGCAGTGTCCCTTCTTCGAGCCCTTGGGCCGACTAAGAAGGGCGGCGCGCGTCGCATACTGGAAGACTTCGCGCACACCCTCGCCGGTCTTAGCTGAGCATTCGAGATAGTGCCGCGCACCGATCTTCTGTGCGACAGCCATACCCTATAATGAACGTTGAAACCGATGTCAGCATCGACAAGAATGACATCATATGGTGGAAGGTGAGGAGAACTGGAGCCGAACGGTGACCAGACGCGCGATGGAACATGGTAGGTAGGGGAAAGTCCAGAAAAGCACGAGATGTGGACAAGGCACAACCACAAGCGACAGACACGTTGGCAAAGCTATCCGATTGAGGCAGGAAAGCGTTACCAAGACGCGCTTATACGGCATGTAGGGTAGTAGCAAGAAGATACTAGGGGGTTGACGGCAAGCAGCCACCATGGACGTACCTCCTCAGGAGTGACTGGCCTCTGGTTAGTCTTCCGGAGCTCCTCAATCACACGGGGGTCGCGCCTGAGATCCTTCTTGCAGCCAACAAGGATGATGGGGAGACCAGCGCAGAAGTGCATGACTTCGGAAATCCACTACGTGGCCACAGAGACACCACACGTTAGGTAAGACAACGCGAGACGGAGGTGTAACACATACCTTCTCCTGTACGTTGTCGAGCGAGTCAGGCGAGTCTACGGCGAAGCAGATGAGGATGACGTGGGAGTCGGGGTAGCTGAGAGGTCGGAGGCGATCGTAGTCTTCCTGGCCGGCAGTATCCCACAACGCAAGCTCGACGTGCTTGCCATCGACCTCGACATCGGCAACGTAGTTCTCGAAAACGGTGGGCACGTAAACCTGTTGCAGGGCAACGAAGCAGAGAGGAATTAGCGCCAAGGAAACGCACACGACAACGCCACGTCTTATGCTTGCGGCAGGCGAGGAACAGATATACGGAGCAAAGTACTAACCTCTGGGAAGGTTCCCTTGGAAAAGACGATCAAAAGACAGGTCTGAGGTGTGGTGGATGGATTGTTAGAATGGTGGTACGATCCGGGTATGAGTAAGAGAGGACTGGAGACATGCCTTTCCGCAGGCACCATCGCCAACAATGACGAGCTTGCGACGAATCTCAGACATGAGGGTCGTACAGAAGAGAACGGGAGGAGATGAGACTGTAGTCGGAGGATGAGGAAAGGGAGGAGGAGGACAGGAGAGGGTTGGTCGTCGTTGTCGGAAGCGATGATAGGCCAGCAGGGACGGCTTTCAAACTCCTCCCAACACAGCCAGGCCACTTGCTTACGTCATCCGATAGGCCCGTGCGTGAGAACCTCAGAAGAGCGCTTAACACCGCCCGCCCGTCGCGTCGCGTCGGGGACTGCTGCGCCCGACGGCGATGAAGGCTGTCTTCTGTGGGTGCTGTGCATGCCCTCGACGAGCATGCGTCCCCGCGCTCGTAATCAACGCTAGTCTACACCGCCTGCACGCCTTCTCTGCCTACCTCCTAATCGCATTCTCGCATTCTGTACTGGCTATGTCGTCACCTCTATGTCGTCTCATTCGGACCCTCTGTTCGCCCGCCCTGGTAACCTCAAGTGTCGCCTTCGCTGTGCTGCACTAGCCTTGAAGAAGCGTCGGGAACAACGTATGGCGGTCGCGCGCGTTCGTATGCATATGTCATCTGCTTCCGGCCTGTCCGTATCATGTCGCGCGATACGACTCACCGGCATTGACGCTACACTGCGACAACCTTCGCCGCCCAATGCATGTCTATCAACACATCCTCGCTTGGACGCGGCGAAGATGCGTAAGACGAATGTGGTCACCCCTCTCGGCACACTCCAGTCCGGAATCTCAACTACAGCGGTTGGCATACCTGAAAACCCCTGCGAGCGCGCCGCCCTGGAGGGCTTAGCAAGACTAGTACTAGTCCAAGGCGTCTCGAAGGCTTAAGTTCGGCGGTGCCCTCCAGCGTCTTGAGTGGCGGATCGGACTCGCATGTTTGTCGGCTCTCTACCTGACCTGAACGTGGCGTCCTCGTCTTGGTCTCCGTGAAGGCCGAGACTACTTCTACGTAAACGAGCGACATGCCGTCATGACCATCCAGCAACCCCTTGGTTTCCAAGACCGAAAGGGCGCGCGCCAGCTGCACTGCGACAGTACACATCCTAGCGTCGACATGTACAGTTCATACGGGCAGGCCATCGTTCCCAATGCCATCTACTTGCACCTCGCGCACTCACCCCTGAGACCATTCAGACTCTTTGAAACGCTGTCAGGTACCTCCCGCGCCCGAACTAACACTTGCCTCAACCCCTGCCGAGCACCTGTCATGGCCCAAAGGTTCTGCCCAGCCAAATCGAAGCCGCGCGGGCAGATTGGAAGCTAGCTTAACTTCGACGCATGTAACATCGCGGCGACATGCCAGCGTCCTGCCACTCGCTGTACTCGTGGTCGCGGAAAGTATTCGAACGCCCGTGTTTAGGCGCCCATTGACCGCTTCTCCTCCTGGTCCTGTAAGTAGTATAAGTAGACATATCTCTACCGTAATTGAGGTATATATTGCTATTATTGTCAGGAACGTGTGCGCACCATGTGATAGGAATATGATCTCTATCTTGAGCCAAACTAGGCTCAACAAATACCAGCATGCTCAGTGAGCATGAGCAGAACATTTGCTATTCTTGGGTACTGAGAATTGGTCAGAGTACCTCCAAATTCTTGCGCATGATTCTGCTCATATGGGAGATTCTACAACATTAGAAAGTATGGTGTATCTATGCCTCTGCTTGGAAAGATTAGTACTAATATAAGTCGAAAGTAAGTGTGGTTCAAGGATATTGTATTCTGCTGGGCATTTCTCCAATGCCATAGCTAAAGCTAGAGACTTGAGTTCTGATTAGATTAG